CTCTTTCATGAAACAAGATCTCATGCAAACACAAAAAAATGTAACCAGTAACAGACGCTATATATCATTTGAGCAACTTCCAAAGTCGACATTATACAACCAATAATATTAACATGATTAATTCTTCCATAGCTAATTGTATAATCTTTAATTTTCTATAAATATCATGACACTTTATGTCTTTCAATCCAATGGTCAAGGCTTAAAATAAAATAATAATTGTCTAACAAACTAATTGCATGTGCACCAAGTTTAATTCAAACTTCATAATTCGTTAAACTCTCACAACACTAGCATACAAGACATTCCTCATGAACTTTTTCTCAAACTCATTTTATGAATACTGAATGTTACTTAATTAATCTCGATCATTAAGAAGAGCAACGTAAAGCTTTCAATTTTGCATATTAAATTCAGTAAAAAATGTGATCTGGGTATGCTCTTTGAGATGAGACAAATAATCCTCTAAGTTATTTTTCAAGTATCTCAATGCCAAACACATAAAATACTTTATCAAGATATTTTATACCAAAAATTTATTAACAACAATATCTTCACATCAAGTATTAATTCGAAATTATTACTAATAAGTAAAATTCCATCGCTATAAAGGATCAAGAAAAATAAATTGCTCCCACTGACCTTGAGATGTATGCATAAATTAATAGTATTATCCATAAAGCCAAGTAATAATATTTGGTGAACCTTTAAATATCATTACTCAGAAATTCGTTTAAAACCATAGATAAATTTGTTTAACTTACAAATCAAATTTATTTTGTTTGGCGAAGCAAAAGATAAAAATGTCACAATACCACTATAATAATTATAAACCTATATTTATGACATTGGTAAGAACAATACTCTTTTCAAATCACAACCTCTTGCAATAGCATTGTATTTATTTATTTATCTTTTAAAAAAAAAATACTCATTAGATTTCAAACTTTTAAAAAGGTATAACATGATCTCATATCTAATTAATAATTTGTACCAATTCATTTACCATATTACAAAACGCCAATATCTTCATCATACGTAACAATCATCTCTTCAATCTCTTGATATTGCTCATTTAGAAAAATAATATAATCGCAAGGATCTTTTAATTGTATGAGAATGTCTAGAAGGTTGCACATGTCATACATGTTCAACTTTTATCAATAGACTGAATAGACACTTCAGATTCTACTTGCACTCTCACTTTCTCTATGTGAGAATGAACAAACCAATTTATTATAATATGCACAAGTATACAGGAAGATTTATATATTTAAATTGTTCACCAATCTAATAACTTCACATTTTAAAAACTTAAAAGATTCTTATGTCAGAAGCAAGATAATAGAACCATTAACAACTTACAAAGTAACAACAAATAACTGTAGGTCCCATTTTGATTTCAAAAATATATCATAAAATTTTTACTTTTGTACAATCCCAAACTCAAAAGTTATTCCAACTAAATTTTATATTAGTTCGTAATTCAAAAGTGTTTTAAAAATATTTTTAACTTAGTACCATACATAAAGTATACATAAGTATACATAGCAATTAAAAATATTTTATCACAAAAACTTGTATAATTTAAACATGTTAACATACACCTCATCATTTTATTGGAGATCTATATGTACCGACTTCTCGCAAGTACTCAACTTTCTTTCGAAGTTACAAGCATTATATGTTATAATGAATCCACAATTATTAATAAAAGAAAATAATAAATTATGTGGTATGCATATTAACCAAAATTATCATGTTCACTATAATATCGATCTTCAATTAATAATTTTAAAATCTTTATCAGTGTGTTTTTCAACATAAACGAGATTAGACAAATGCATAACATCAATACCATTTATGAAATTAATAAAATAATTTTTCCCACACACCTTATGATAAATGAAAATCTATCAATATTTTGTTTTTATTATTATTATTTATTAACCAAAATTAAAAATAATAACAATGCTTATTTTGTTGACATTAAAATTGAACTGTATCTCATGGATAATAAAAAATAACATGTCTTTAAAATAAGATCAGTACTAAACTATAACTTAAATAACTATGCCATAAATAAAATTTTGATTAAAACACAAGCATATTTTTTTTTAAAGCAGTTTAAAAAATAAATAAGGAGATTCCGAAGGTGGGAAGAGCGTCATAGCTCACAAAATTCTAAAGAATTTTTCTTACTTGAGTTAATAATATATAAAGAGATTTGCGGAATATATTCTGAAAAGAAAAACATAAAATACTGAAGGAGAGATAACGATTTGTAAAAGTCGAAGGTATTATATAGAGCATTGTAGAGTGTAATTTAGATTTTTCTTATAAGAATCACCTAGTGAATATTTTAAAACTCTACTTTCTTAAATAGTTAACATTGAATATAATTTCAATCTTTCACACTATATTGAGGTCTTAATATAAATGGTTAAGAAGACACATTCTCGAGTATGTTAATATCTAAATCAGTTAGTCTTAAAGCTAACTCAATATCTTTTAACCGATTCATAATCAAAACTTTAATGGAGTAAATTTGATTTTTATAAAAATATCTCCCTTCATTGCTTTCAATTCAATATAATATCATTCAATTATATATAGACAAATAATTTCATAATCACAATAATATTCTTAAATATTTAAAATATATCACTCTTAAACTGAATATATAGAAAGCATGTTCACAACTCCAACTTTCAATTATATATAGGCAATTAGTATAATCTCACAAGAATATGCTGCGAATAAACTTTAGCAATATTCTCAGATGTGCCAGAATGTATCACTATATAAACACCTTTGGGTTGAATATATAGAATACAATCAACATCTTTAAACTTTAATATAATCTTAATTAATTATACTGGGCAATAATTATAATCTCACAACAATGGGCTGCAAATAAACTTTAACAATCTTGTTAGATATTTCAGAATGTGTCATCATATAAATACCTTGGGCTAAATATTAAGACACATTCTAACACCTATAAACAAGTCAACTAGCAAGAATGATTTATCAAGAAATTATCTCCTTGGGTAGATAAAATTCTTTCAAAAACAATAAAATTTCCCTTACTAGCGGCTCACACTACCTCTAAAATTAATACACTCAATTAACCCCCTTTGAGTAGGTATTGAGTGATATAATATTAGAAGAGTTTCCCAGAATCCTTATTGGTAAATCACTTGAATCTCAATAAGTTAACCACTTCGGCAGTATCACCCATATTGATTCAAAAATCTTCTAATTGAGACACAAAAATAAATATTTGTCCACCTTTAAAACTTTATTTATTTATTAACAATAATGCAATCTATAACCCATCAAAGCATATATAATATCATATTACGAATCACTACTAAACAGTTACTCAAAAATAATAGCTCACGGCCAACCAAAATTCGCATATGAATTTACAAAAAATACACCAAAGTGATATACATGATATAGAACTCTTAAACAATCTTAATGTTTATGTAAAAGTCATAAAAACAATATCTTTTGCAAATATTTGATTAGATGAGATTTGAAATATATATATATATATCAATACAGATTCAATATACACACGTCCATACTTCACAATTTTTGTAAAACTACCAGATCTAAATTACTTTTTTATTTTATTTTATTTTATTTTTATATAATACAATTGGAAGCAAACTATCAATACTCAAACAGTATGTACTCGTTACATTGAAAAAGTTTGCTTGAAATTACTAAAGCACAATTTTGAGATGCAAAAACATCATTCAGTAAAAGAAATATTAATTTATTCCTTATCATTATATAAAATAATTTTACTGAAATAATCTGCCATGATTTTGATTCTAGTATAAACTTGCTCTGATACCACATGTAAGATTATAGGATCTATATACTAGAAATCAAAACACTATGAATAAAAGTAACTACTAAAATATAAACTCAGATACATACCGTTTGATTCCGTTATTGTCTTGAGTTTTGCTTCCTTGAAAGAATATGGCATTCACAATTGGAAAACTTTAGCACCAGCTCTTCCCATCCTTCTCCTAATCTTTTTGTTATCTTTTCAATGGGGCTGACAACCCTTTGATCTACATATATATAGATATATGTAAACCCTAATAAGGATAGGAGATGGGACTAGGCCTAAATAAAACAATTACTGGGCCCTCCCATTAAGGAACTCAAATAACTTAAAACAGGCCTTACACCTCCATATCACATATCCACATATAAAATAATATATACACTAAGATGACCATGGCCCAAACTTTATGGATCACAATAATAATTTTGGGCTCATACCAGTCAATCTATCTGAATCACGTTCAACCCGTTTTTTATGAACCAAACAAAATATAGTCAATGACAGCCTAATTAAGAATAAATTCTTACACTTCTCCTCTCTTGTACTCATCATTTATACACATAAATAGCTATATATATATATATATAGAGAGAGAGAGAGAGATGAGGCAAATTTATAGAGAAAAAGTATTATACAAATCCAAACGTATTTGCAAATCTTCACCAAACCCACAAATTCCAACAACCATTATATTCTCACACTACTTCATCCGCCGCTACTATAAAAGAACCCAACAGAGACGTAAGAGATAAGGGCTTCGGCCGCTTTGGCGTTAGAGAGGAAACTACCAGTTTGTGGACTTCGTCGGAGAGGAAGGTACCAAAGGAGATCGATTTCAAGGACTTTGGGTCTTCCTCTGTTCCTTTTCTATTTCTCTCTTCTCAACCTCTGAGAGAGAAACGAAAAGTAAAAGAAAAAGAAAGAAAGAAAAAAAAATTAAAAAACATTAAAATGACATCATTTGTGAAAATCGAGCCATTTGGGACAATAAGTTTCGAGTTACGAGACAGTTTCCTTTCTTGCATCGCTCAAAAAAAGAAAAAAAAGGACAGGCAGTATGCACGAACCGGTCACGGTTCACACAAACCGCACGGCCAATTTTATCACCATAAATTCATTTTTAGGGCAAGGGATCACGACTCTCTCCCCTCAGTTCGACGACCCAACATCGAACGATTAGTCTCCTTCTCAGGACACCATTCAGCATCTGATATACCCAAAACTCCCGTTAGTCATTTACTTATTTACAAATTCTCTCTCTCTGTTTCTCTTTTATGTAATTTGATCTCTAATCTCCCTTTCTTTCTAAATTTCTTTAACTTGCATTGCGAATGAAGCAATTTCACATCAAAGCATTTTTTTTTTCTTTCTAATAATAAAATCATGTCCTTCAATCTTTGGTCATTGATTGATTCATGCTCATGCATTGTTGTCTTTCATTGATCATGGTATTGTTAATGTTCTATTTGGATGAAAGTGCATAAACCATATTTTTAAGTATTTTACCTGTTTGATTTTTTTTTTTTTTTTTTTTTTTCCGTGAATGTTACTGAATGTATTAGTTTGTAATGATTTAATCATTTACACTTGTTTGGTAACTTGGGAGAGAACATAAATGAAAATAAATGATTATTTAAGTTAGGAGAGAAAATAAGGGGAAAGATTGTGATTTCTCTCTTGCTTGAATAAATAGGAGAGAAAAGGAAAGTGAACATATTTTGCTCTTATATTGATTGGTTAAGCTCTATAAAAGAAAATAAAATAAATGATATTATGGTATATTATCAAATTAACCTTTTACCGGTATTAGTCTCTTTATTTCTTTGATAAATTACAAATACACTCCTGAGATAAATGTAGATTGTCCCTTATGAATTGGAAAATTACAAATACTCTTTGTAAGATTTTTTAATTTAACATAATTGACTAAAAAATAAAATTCTTAACTACTTTCCTATACAATAATAAAATTATGTGAATTAATAATTGAAATATATTTTTTACATCATTAAAAACTGTTAATTGACTTAATAATTTATTGATAAAAGGAGTCACTTGTTAGGAAATTAGAAACTTCAGGGGCGGAATGTAATTTTTAGAATCATAAGGGGGTAATTCATATTTTAAGCAAACTTTAGGGATGTATTTGTAATTTATTCTATTTCTTTTATATCTAAACTAAAAGGATACTTTGGTATTATAATAAAATAGTATTTAGGTGATTTTTTTTTCTCCTAATCTTTCCACTTTTGGAGAGATTAAAAGTAGGTAGTTATGAGATAAATGTGTTTATCTCTATTTCTTCCCATTTCAATCCACTTCTCTTCTCTTTGCTTATTGAAACGAGTGATATTGACCAAGAGAAATGCTTTTCTTTTCTTGTCTTCCCAAATCACCAAATCCAAACAGGCTGTTAACTTTGTCAAAGGGAAAGCTTCACTTTGCCTATGTGGTATTCATGTGGGGATGACCTGCTTTGATTTGGAAATAAACATGTAATGTAATATTTTTGATTTGTGGAGATAGTGGGTTGATTAAAAAAAACAGATTGTGGGGTTGAAAGTGGAAATATGAGTGAGACTGGGAAAAAGAGATTCATGGAGGCCGTGTGTGTGTGATGACAGTCGGTGGTGTGGTTTGAGTGTGTGTGTGTAGCTCCAAGGGTGTGTGTTTGTCAGTGTGTATGTGGGCTGTGTCTATGGAGAGAGCCGAGAGGGAGAGAGCAAGAAAAATGTGGATGATTTAGAGACTGCCTTTGAATCTGTTATTGTAAAATCATTTAATTTTGGGGAAGATGAAGCAAAAACTCCAGTGCAACCAAAGGTTCTGGGATGATGATAGAAGGATGTGTGACCTGGAAAGCAACAGAAACTGAAACTGAAACAATGGTCAGAAACATGAGACTGCTGTTTCTCGTTGGTCAAGAGCAAGAACCAGAGCTGCCAAGGCATGTGTGGTGTGTGTTCCAGAGAGAGGAGAGTGTGTGTGTGGAAGGAGAGAGAGTGACCCGTGGGTGTGTGGCTCTACATTTTTTTTTTTTTTTTTAAACCCAAAAACCAAAACCAAAAACTTGAGGCCATTCTTTTGTGAAGTTCTGTGAAGAGTATGGTCTGGTGAGAAAGCTGAAAGGGTTTTGGGAATTGAAAGAGTGAGTGTGTGTACACAGGTGGGTGAGATGGAGTTGGATGAATGTGAGGAGACTACACTGCATGATGTTAACATTGAGGACGAGAAGCGTCGGAAACAGCAACAGGCCCAAGAGGCATACGATGAGGATGATGATATGCATGGTGTTGGTGCCCAGAGGGTGCAGTATGCGCAGCAATGATTGCTGCATCAGGGAAGAAGTGGGAGGAGCTTGAGCCGGCGCTGCTTGAGGCCGAGATAATTGCGGCAGAACTTCGCCGGAGTGAGATCGAAGAACTTGGTGACACCGTGTACGGCGGAGGGATTGAGAATCTGAGTGCAGAGCCAGCCGGTGGCCATGTCGAGGTCGCTCTGCATGAGGAGCTTCCCAACAGAGTGGGATGGATCGGAGCATTTCGGACCATGGTGAAACCATGGTGGTGCTCAGGTTCACTGAATGGAATCTTGGAGGGTCATAAGGATGTGTCCATGACTTCGGTGATTGAGTCGGAGGATGGAAGCATGACTAAGGGAGCTTATGTTACACCATGGTTAATGGCAGCAAGAAATGTGGCAGCGGAATGAAGATATGTGTAGAGGTCCGGCGGGCGGCCAAGGCGAGGCTGCCGCCCGCCGGTGAAGCAGAATTACTAGCTTCTCAACCTTGCTCTGATACCATATAAGAAAAATTGATAGAGAGATACAGAGAGAATGAATTATGTATATTGATTTATGTATTGAATGTATTATGAATAAAGAGGTACACTCTCCGTTATATAGGAGAGAACATTACAAACATCATCATGCCAAAAGTGGATCCACTAACTGAAAGTAAATGCACTAATCTAAAGCCTAAAGCACTAACATAAAATATATTAACAGTACCATTGGCTTCTTTTTATTTTATTTTTATTTTTTTTTATCCAAGTTAACACGTGATGAGCTACACGCCTATGTGGATAGTCAACCATTTTTTAAAAAAGATATCCTTCATTCATCTTCAAATTTATAAAAAAAATTGCCATTTCTATTCTTCTTCTTCTTCTCCTTCTTCTTCCATCTCTCTTTACTATTTCTCTCCCTACTCCCTTGACACCCGCAACTACCAACCATCATGACAGCCAACACCACCTCCATCTATAGCAAACCTACACTCAAGGTGTAAACATAATAAGGTGCAACCTCCAATCCTCTAAGTGGATGTACACCAATAGACCGTGCAACTTCACCATCCACATCATGCATCAAAATGGCCTACAAAATTAACCACGCAGCCCATCCAAAGCATCCCCTCACCAACTTATTCTCAATCCCAAGCTACCCAAGAGGCGAATTCCATTGCAATGGTTTGCGGCCACAAAGGTCACAACTTCATTTACCACTACAACTGCTATAATTTTGATATGCACATTGTTTGTGCATCATTGCCTCCTTTTTTGGCTCACCAATTTCACTCTTATTGGTTAAACTCAAATTTCAAACCAAAGGCTTCACTTGTGATATATGCTGTAGAACTAGGTCTAACTATTGGGTCTTTCGTCGCAGTGCATGTGATTTTGATGTCCATTTGAATTGGCAAAATTTTTGTGCAAAATATTACGAGTGATGGAAATGGTGGCAGTGGTCGGACAGGTGATGATGGTGGCGATAATTATGCTCTCTCAACTATAGTGTCTTTTTCAACGAAAATGTTTGGTAACAAAGATGATTAGTGCCCTAGCCGTTTATGAACACTATTATGGAAATATCAGACATGTAGAAATTTCGGTATATGATAATTAGTTCTGGAGAAATAGTTAGGATCTTGCAAAATCAGATTGAATCAAAGGAGTTAGATAGGATGGTGGAGTTTGCTGATCAATTTCAAGATTTTGATTCTTTGTCTTGGATGCTCTACTATGTATATTTATATATATATATACACACATGTGCATATATATCGGACTAGAGGAAGAAGATAAGGGTGTTTGAGTAAATTTACAGGTTCTATTAATGTCAGTTAGCAGTGCAATTTTATCCACAAACCATTGGTGGTTATGTGCTTATTTCCAAATAAGAGGTCATTTGCACATGGATCAAACCACAAGGGAAAAAGTGAAATTTGCCTGTCATAGAAATTTGAAAAATTGGCTACTAATTTGTAGCCTAGTGTACAGGGCCTACAAGCAAAAAAATTAGCTATGCGGTTGATGACGTAATTCCAACATTAGGATGAGCAAAGCGAGTTCCTGTTTCTCTACAAACAGAGCAACATTGACCAGCCAGAGGAACTTCGATGTTCAAGTCAGCAACTATCTTGAGATAGAGTATTATAGCTCGTGTGTGTTAATATGTGTACCTTGACTTGTGAGACTGATTGGTTTGATTTATAGTGAAGGATCCTTTCTTTGCAGGAATCCTTTTCCTAATATAGGAAGTACTTATTTATTAAGTCATTCTTCAATACAATTTTCCTTGATTTAGGAAAATAAGATGAGGTTCTTATGTTTTGATCAATGCATGAGTTTAGTTCCTATATAATGCTGACTTCTCTTTGACTACTGCCAGTGGGTGCTGAGTCTGCTGACCACTCACACAACGCCACCTTGCTGGTTGGTTGGTCAATCAGTGCCAATGAAATCAAGCTAGCTAGGCCGACTTGGGTCCAGGGTGGATCTTAAGCTAATTTTCCTCCCTCACCTAGTATCCATGATATTTTAGATTTTTGTTAGATACTTATGCATTCTGTGGATTCATGTAGCCGACCCCATTTGATGGGACTCAAGGCTTGGTTTGGTTACTTATGCATTCTTTGGCTTGTATTTTGATTTACTTGAAGTTTGTGTTGTGATCCTCTGTGTGTATGTGTGTGTGTGTGCACTTTCTCTCTGTATCCATTGTTGGTGTCATCTCTTGGTACAGCATAAATGGAAGCACACTTGAATGGGTTTTCTTTTTATGTGTTGTATGTTTTGGTATTTATTTATTTTTAAATTTTGATTTTTGTCTTTATGGGGAACAAAGAACAAGCATGTAAGCATTTAGTTCATGTAGTGTTTTGATGTAATGGTTTTGCAATTATTTTTGAACTTTCTATGTCATTTGCTATTATTTTTTGTTCCCCTATTTTTTTGCAATTGCTTTTTGTTCTTACCATTTAATTTGCAACTTTCCCAAGAACATAAGGAATACAGTTTTCTTTATTTTAATTGTTTATTTTATTTCTCTGCTTTACTAATTTCTGATCAGCCTATCCTTTATTTTGGTTATTGGCAGCTCCTATGGGCATTGATTTGGACCCTTTGGATGAAATTTTTCCCGAGCGTGCTACGAATTATGGTAAGTTACTTCTTTGCCATAGTTGACTTCATCTTGCTTAAAAGGTCTGAGTTGTTCATGTTAAATTTGTAGCAGCTAGTGCTGGTGGCAAGTTTCGGTCCAAGGGAAAACCACAATCAAGAAAAGAATCACTTGCATCAGTTCCTTCCACACAGTCTGTTCAGACTGTTGATATTGCAGAGAATAAATTGCTTGATCTGGTCAGTCCATCTGTAGCTACCTCTGAGACTAAAAACCCATTAAAAAACAATGAAGATTCTGTTTCGGAAGTTCATTTCTCCAGTGACTGTCCATCAGTGAACCCCTTACCAGAACATGCTGTGACTGAAGAGACTCTAAGCAGCAATATTGGTGTGCAATCTGATGTTGTGGCATCCAATGCCAATGGAGATTGGCATTTTGTCACTGGAAAATCAGCGGGACAGGTCATGATTATTTCATCCACTGGATCCAGAGACAGAACTATGCTATGGCCTGGGGTGGCCATGGCCCCCTCAGCCCTTGATAAGCCTCTATGTCTATGCTTGCTACTCTTGTTGTACAGCGATCCGGACATGTGTCCGTGGATGTTGGTAGTTGATTATTATCCTGTTTACATCATTTTTACTTTATATTTGAGTTATGGGATGTGTTGGGCAGGTTTGTTACAGGTTGGTTGAGTTTAGAAACCAAAACTAGTTGCCCAGATTTTGACCTGTCCGCTTGAGCGGGGGTTTTGGCGCTCGAGCGGGAATTGCACCCATCCAGTATTTCCTGTGCAGTGTTGGACACTCGAGCGTGTAGTTGGCCGCTCGAGCGGGGTTGTGTGAGTGATGATTTCTAGTTTTTCGTCCACTGGATCCAGAGACAGAACTATGCTATGGCTTGGGGTGGTCATGGCCCCCTCAGCCCTTGATAAGCCTCTATGTCTATGCTTGCTAGTAACTAAGAATTCAAAAGTTTTCAGAATAGTGTCCCCTCCAATATATATATATTGTAATTTTGCTGGGCATTTCACCAAGTTTCTTTCACCTTTTTTTATTTCATATCTATCCACTGCCCACTTGTTACCAAATGAAAAAGGCTCAAGCAATTTTATATTTAATTGTCTCTAGTTGTTAGGTAATTTCCAAATGAAAAAAGCTCAAATAATTTTATATGTAATAAAACAAACACAAATACATGGCATAAACTAGTTTATTATTAGATCAATCGATTTTTTTGTTTGGTATTTGGTTTGAAATTTGATTATCAAATTAAATTTTAAAATGATTTATTATGATGAAATTTGGGAATAATGGAGTTTATTTTGAGAAATCGGCACTTTATGTGCAAATCATGCTGACAATGTGATTTTATCTATGAAATTATCACTTTATGTATGTTAATTGATATTGGACATAGGGCTTGAATTACCAATTAACAGTGTCTGTCTATCTAAAATTAGACCAGAGAATTGGATCAGTAGTATTTTTTTTCTTTACTTTCAGAATGCAGACATATTTTTTGGGCTGGAATGTCTTGATGATTTTTATTCTCAATCTTCAACTGCAATGGGTGAGTAAAGAAAACCCTTCTGTGCGAATACTTTATTTTTCTTTCCTTGTTCGTTACTGTTAAAATTGATGTATTATTTATTGATGAATGTTGTGAATTACAAATGGTGAGATGCTCTTTATATAGGAGATGTAGTAGGTGAAATGTGTGGAGTAGGTATAGTAGGTGGTGGAGTAGGTGAAGTGGGTGGAGTAGGTGTAATGGAGTAGGTGAAGTGGGTGAAGTAGGTGATAGGTTAGGTGATAGGTTTTAACAGTTACGCTGAGTGCTTCGTGTCTTATTTTGGTGTGAATACTGTAGTTACGTCACTGGGAAATGAGTTCTCTACATCATCTCTTGCAAATAATGGTGCAGAAGGCTCTCTTGCACGTTCAGAGATACCTACTGTTTATGTTTCTGATACCACGAGTGCAGAAGAGGGACCTCATATTTCTATTGTTTCTAATAGTGATGGAGGATTTCATATTGATAATAGAAGGTTACACAAAGAGGTGAAGATCTTTTTTCTTTTTTCCTTTTAGTTGTAGCCAAGGCATTATCTCACCTGAAGTGCTTATTGGATTAATATGGTTTGAACTTTGGTAAGTTTCAGGAAGGGGTGGCCGTTCCTTGCTTGGAAATTTTAGACATGTATGAGTTAATCACAAGATCTGGTAAAATTTTAGTTGCCTGTTCTTTTTATTTTTCTTTGATTTTACTGTTTTCATTCTTTAGTCTCTTGTTGATCTCAGGACGTTGCGGTGGCAAATTCCAACGCAAGCCCAAGATTCAAATTGCGAGACAGAAACCTGGTGCTGACACTTCTCATCCAGATGCAGTTGAGTCCATTCCATGTCCACAACAAGCTCAGTCAATTCCTTCTGAAACTGAATGCATGAACGAGGGTTCAAACCTTGCATTCCCATCTAACAATATTGTTGATTTCCCATCCTTGAGGTTTGATAATTCTACATCTGAACTCCCAGTGAATGAACCAACAACCAATTTTATGGATGCTTCTCGCTCAATCCCAGAAAAAGTTGTAATTTGTTCAACTTCTATTCTTTCGTACATTTATTGTTTGCATGAGTTAATTATTCTGTTTAATTGAGTTAATCTAGTTTTAGTTTGATGTTTTATTTCTTTGATTCTTTTTTATTTATTTATTTTTTTGCGAATACTATAATTTTATTGTGTGTTTCTCAGAGCTCCAAGTGTAGGAAAAGAAAAACTCTAGTAACAGATGATTCTCTTGAGAACCAAAAAGATTCCATATCTGATCAGGAGAATGAAGCTGACAGATCAACAAGGCTGCTGAGAAAGCGGAAAAATGGATGTGAACTTGTTAATGAATCGGAGGAGGAGGCTAATGTTGATGGGGACTTCTCATACAAATGTCCTAGTGGTTCTCTTGTAGATGAAGATGATAATGATAATGATAATGCTGAATATCAAGGGGAAAAGGAACCCCAAAAGAGAAGGGCACCAACAAAATATGAAAAATCAGTTCCGCAGAAAGAAAATCCTGTTCGGAAGCATAAAAAGGTGATGAAGAAGTGGAGAAATCAACTAAGGCTCCTCACAAGAAGTTCTCTCACTCTACTCGTCGAAAGAGAAGACAAGGTAACTAGCACTTTTTGCGTGTCAGGATTGTTTGTTAGTGGGGGCATGATCAATGTTCTAATTATGGTTTGACCTTTTTTTTAATAAAATAGTAAACAGGGTTTTGCTTGAAACGCCAGAGGATGAAATCGACATCCAAAGTTTGTGTATTAGAGATGTAATTATGCTGGCAGACCATAGAGAGCGGATATCAGTATGTATTATGCATTAAATTAAGATTGTATATAGCTGCTTCTTCTTTTTCTTTTTCTTTCTTTTTCTTTTTTTAATATTTTTTTAATGAATATGAGGAATGGATATCATACATGAGAGGGGAGATTTGCACCTGACTGTACGGCCGAGCTGAGATAACGTCAGACGTAACGGACCGCGTAGCGCCGAGCTAATCTCTGTTGACATAGCCAGCGGCCTGCCTTGCACGGTCGGAAATATTGACCGGTCAGGCACCAACTGCCATAGCTGAGTTGCGTCTTCAACGTGTTGGACGGAGCTTGGGTTAGCGGATGCTGATCGGACTAAAAGGTAGCCCGAGCCGGTCCGTGGGCGCGATCAAGGCCGGTGCACCTTGGATCGGTCAGTCGATATAAAATGCCTTCATGTGACCAAGATTGAAGGTAGACCGGTTGGAGGCCGGCATGCCTCGCAACCGGATGGTCATGATGAACCGGCCAATGATAGTTCGGCCGAGGTGGGCAGGCTTTCGCCTGATTCCAAGTTATAGGTCAGCGACACATAGCTCGGTTATGAGCATGTAATAGTGACTCGCCACAAGTGACAGGCCGATCGTGGTACTCCGGTTAAGTATGCCACCTAGGCCAATGGCGTGAAGGAGAGGACATCCGCTCCACGCACGCCTCAGTACCGTTGGGCAGTTCTGTGTGTACTGGAGAGAGGACTGAGCCTTTACACGCGTAAGACGGTGAGAGGCGAGCACTGCCACCTATCCAGGGAAGGACAGCAGAGGTAGTGCGCGCACAATCTTGAGGCTGCATGGCCAACCTAGAAATATGGAGGAAGAGGGACGTTGGAGGTAAGCGAATTCATCCTATCAAAAACTCTCTCCCTGATAGCCTTCTTCTTGAGCTAGTGGTCTGACTTGATCGTCGGAGGGTCTTTCCGGCACACCACCGCCGGGCAGCTCACCATTTTTGTGTTGCAGAAATAGACGCCGTTACAAGAAGCTTGACGACCAAGGAGTACGGAGAACAGAGGATATTTCGCCCCCCGTACAATTGGCGCCGTCTGTGGGAAGTTTTTTGATTCTCAACCCTTGTTCTCAGAGCTTCTTCGATCATTTCCATGGCCGACAACGGCGAAGCCCCACTGTCCGTCGTCGATGGCGTCACCCCTGAATACGTCCGCTTGAGAGAAGGTCCTCTGAATATTCCAACCATGGCAGGCCTAGAAACTCCTTCGCGGAGTGCGTGAGACAAACGCGGAAGGAGTGCTGATCGCTCGCAGAGTCCTGGAGGCCGCAAACGCCGGGGGGAGTCCCATGCGCAGCGCCTGGAGCACAAACTCAAGGACCAAGACGCTGTCATTCGCAAGATGGCGGCGGAGATGGAGCTACTGAAACGCCAGATCAAAGGGAAGGGTGTTGCTAGAGAGGGCAACCTCAGTGAGCGCACCCCGTCCCCTCGTTGGAGCAGTCGCCGCCAGGGGAGGACCCACTCTCTCTCCATCACCAGGAACTATGGGGTTGGAGGCTCCAGCCAAGGTGAGGGCAGGTCCCTCTCTCGCGACAACACATACCGCCCCTCACGACCGACGCCGACGTCGGGATCCTCTTTCTCCACACGTTCCAGGGACTTTAGGGATGTATTGGAAGAAAAGGCGCGCTGTCCGGAGGCTCGAAGAGTGCCGGCATTGTAGAGGTTAAGCGCTCCAATGCGTTACAGTGAGGAAGTGGCGATGCCAGCCCCCAAAGTGATGGCCCCTACGCTAGAGGACAAAGAGCTGGCGCGACTTACAGCCACGCAGCTGTCTCCAGAGATTGAGAGTACACCACTCAACGCCGGATTCCACCAGCCAAAGTTCACTTTGTACGACGGCAAAACGGATCCGTACATGCACTTGAGTCATTATCAGCAGGTGATGGCTGGCCACTGGCGCAACAACGCTCTGATGTGTCTCATATTCCCAGCAAGCTTGGGAGAGTTGGGTCTGAAGTGGTTTGAAAGGCTCCCGGAGGGGAGTATAGAGGGGTGGCAGCAGCTGGCGGAAGCCTTCGTCACCAGATTCAAAACCAACACACGAACGCCGAAGGAGGTCGACCATCTCCTGGGCGTCAAGATGGAGTCTGGGTGTTCGTTGAAGGCATACAATGCGAAATACTGGGAAACTTACAATGAGATCCTCGACTGCCCCACCAATCTGGCGATCACTCAGTACAAACGGGGTCTCCCAGTCGGACATAGGCTGCGAGATTCACTCACGATGCATCAACCTACAACTATGGAGTCATTGATGCAGCGGATCAATGAGAACATTCGTGTGGAGGATGATACCACCTCCGCGACCGAGAAGGTTAATCCGGTCGTGGCAGACAGGAGGGTCGCGGGAAAAGTTTACTCGGTTGGGCTGGAGGATAGCCGCCCAAACAACCGGTCGAAAGGCCAGCGCCATGATCCAAACCGTGATGACAGAAACAAGGGCCGCCGAAACGACCAGGCAGACCCTCCCCGTGATGCAGCGGAGGATGCCAAAAGAAAATTGAAAGCATGGATCGGGATCACCGCGGTGTTTAAAATCCCCATCTACCGCATTTTGAGCGAGATTCGAAGCGAACCCTTCGTCCGTTGGCCGGCCAAGTTGGGGAGTGCCCAGAGAGGCTTCAATTCAAAATATCGCTGCACATTTCATGAAGAACGGGGGCACCGAATAGAGGACTGCCTGCCGCTCAAGCAACACTTAGAGGAGTTGGTAGCGGCGGGGCATCTTGACCAATACATAGATGGGTGCATCAAGGCCACGCCAGCAGACCAAGTCGAGCCAAACGGCCTGGCCGCCCTAGAAGCGCCTCCGCAAGGTGTAATCAACGTCATCCACGGAATCATTAAACCGGCCAGGGTTTGCGAGCTGAGGGGGATGATCAAGAAGGTCGAGCACATGAGGGAAGTGCTCTCTGTTCAGCCCGTTGTGAAGAAAGGAAAGACCGAAGAAAGGGACATCCTTTCATTCTCAACCAAAGACTTGGAAAGAGTTCAGATGCCGCACAATGATGCCTTAGTAGTCACTCTTCACGTCAAGGACTTTGATATCAAGAGAATCTTGATCGACCAGAGGAGTTCGGTCGAAATCATGTATTATGACGCGTTCAAACAGATGAAGTTAGAAGACAAGGACTTGGCCCTGCGACGTCTCCTTTGGTCAGCTTCAACTCACAACCGGAGTGGCCAATCGGAAAGATTATTTTGCTGGTGAAAGCGGGTTCAGTAGTAAAGCAAGTGGAGTTCTGGGTGCTCAAAGTTCCTTCCACCTACAACTTGATCTTAGGTAGGGGCTGGCTGCACGCCATGCAAGCGGTTGCCTCGACCTTCCACCAAGTCATGCGCTTTCCGGCGTCGAGCGGGCAAATAGAGGAAGTTTGGGGAGACCAGGTGATGGCAAAATAATGCTTCGTTGCGGTAAATGGCAGCCGAGCAGCCAAAGGGTTTGTCCAAATGATCGAGGGGCCCGAGGAAAAAGAGGTCCTTAAAGACGTGGAAAGGAAGGCCGAGGAAAAATCGGTCGAAAATTTGGTGGAAGTGCGCTTTGACGAAAATGATCCAACTAAATTCTTCCTCTTGGGGTCATCTTTGTCTAGCGCCGAGCAAGCGGATTATGTCAACTTCTTGGTTTCCAATTTGGAGGCCTTTTCCTGGACGCCTTACGACATGCCTGGCGTCGACCCGAGCTTCATCTGTCATCAGTTGAATGTTTTCCCCAACGCACGGCCAGTCATTCAAAGGACGCGCCGTTCAGCCCTGCACCATGCTGAAGTGGTGGCGGAAGAAGTGAAGAACTTGTTAGAAGCCGGGGCTATAGAAGAAGTGCAATACCCTCGGTGGATATCCAACACGGTGGTTGTTCCCAAGAAAAATGGCAAGTGGCGAGTCTGCGTTGACTACAAGACTGTCAACCGGGCTTGTCCTAAGGACAGCTTTCCCCTTCCTCGAATTGACCAGCTGGTGGACTTGACCACTGGCCATCAGAGGTTTAGCTTCCTGGACGCTTATCGCGCCTACCACCAGATAGCCATGTATAAACCGGACAGAGAGATTACATCGTTCACCACCCCCAGAGGATTATATTGTTACAAAGTCATGCCGTTCGGACTAAAGAACGCCGGAGCAGCCTTTCAGCGGATGGTTACTAAAATGTTCGCTCCTCTCTTGGGCCGAACAATGGAGGCCTACATCGACAATATGGTGGTAAAGAGCAAGGAGAAGTCTGAACACCTCACCGACCTAGCAGAAATGTTCTCCATACTTAAGCACCATAAGCTTCGTCTGAACGCCTCCAAATGCGCTTTCGGAGTTGGCACTGGAAAGTTTCTGGGTTTTCTGGTTACAAACCGGGGGATTGAGGCCGACCCATCCCAGATCAAAGCGATACAAGAGCTGGATCACCCGAATTCTACAAAGGACGTGCAACATCTTGCCGGGATGGCAGCTACGCTGAACAGATTCATCAACCGGTCTTCGGATCGTTGCAGGCCCTTCTTCAAAACTCTGAAGTCCAAGTTCTTCTGGCATGAAGAGTACGACCGTGCACTGGCGGACTTAAAAGCGTATCTCTCCTCAGCCCCAATTTTGGTCACGCCTCAGCCGGGCGAAGAGCTGTACCTCTACTTGGCTGTTTCTCAACACGCGGTGAGCGCGGTATTGATTCGTACTGAAGGCATCCAACACCTACCAATCTTCTATGTAAGCAAGACCCTGCTCCCAGCCGAAACAAGATATCTTCCCTTGGAAAAATTGGCGCTGGCCCTAATGATGGCGTCGAGAAAGCTAGCACACTATTTTCATGCCCATACAATAGTTGTGCTGACCGAATTCCCTCTCAAGGTGCTCTTTGAGAAGGCCGACTTCACCGGGAGGATTCTGAAGTGGGCCGTGGAATTGGGGCAGTATGACATCAGGTTCTGCCCGCGCACCGCGGTCAAAGCTCAAGCTCTTGCAGATTTTGTGGCGGAATTTGCCCCTGGGACGCATCCAGTTTGCTCGATTGATTTGGTTGGTGCGGATTTAGCACAACCCAAGGTTTTGGCAACGGAGACGAGCGTTGGCTCGCACGTGGAAAAAGGGCAAAGTTTGACCGAACTAGTAAAGTCCGACAACTCGTTGGAAGATGAACCCAATGGAGACGAGAAAAAAGACCAGAACGAGCTGGCCAGAGACATTGAATTGAGAAGCTCCCAAAACCCGTCTGATTGTTGGAAGCTGTTCATTGGCGAGATGTGGAAGCTCTTCGTCGATGGAGTGTCAACAGGCATAGGGCCGGGCTGGGAATTGTGCTGACCTCACCAGATGGGCTGATTATTGAGCAAGCAATTACGCTCGAATTCCCGGCGTCCAACAACGAGGCAGAGTATGAAGCCCTCATCGCCGGTTTGAGAAGCGCATTGAGAATGAAAGCCACCGCCCTTATGGTCTTCAGCGACTCCAAGCTGGTGGTCAATCAAGTATCAGGGGAGTATGAGGCAAGGGATGAAAGAATGGCCAAGTATCAAGCGTTGGTCCGAGAAGAAATCAGGAAGTTCCCTGCGATAAGAGTGGAACAGATCAACCGCGAAGAAAACAACTCGGCTGACGAATTGGCTGGGCTCACCTCCACTCAGACAGCTTTTCCTAACCCCTTGATGATAGAGTTTTTACCCCAGCCAAGCATTGAGGAGCCGGAAGCAACCGAGGTGCTCTGCACCGACTTGGGTCCTTCCTGGATGGATCCCATCATCGCCTTCTTAAAAGATAGAGTTCTACCAGAAGAAAAGAAGGCAGCCCACAAAATCCGAGCAAAGTCAGAGCGGTTTTGGCTCTCCCCATCTGGAGCCTTGTCTAAGAGGTCCTTCACCGGGCCGTATTTGAAGTGTGTCCACCCCGCCAAAGTGGAGACTTTTCTCTACGAAATACATGAGGGCATCTGTGGAAGCCATACTGGAGGCAGGTCCTTGGCTTACCGAGCAATTTCCCAAGGTTACTGGTGGCCGTGCATGCAGGCGGACGCACAGAAATATGTTCGCAGGTGTGAGAAGTGTCAGAAGTTCACTCACCAGATCCACCAGCCGGCTAGAGATTTGCTCCCTCTCACAAGTCCTTGGCCGTTCGCGCTTTGGGGATTGGATATTGTTAAACCGCTCCCAGCAGCACCGGGCAATCGCAAGTTCTTCATCGTCGCCACCGACTATTTCACCAAGTGGGTGAAGGCCGAGCCACTGGCGACCATAAAGGAAAAGGATATGAAGAGGTTTGTTTGGCAAAACGTCATTACTCGTTTCGGTATACCCAGGGCCCTCGTCTCAGATAACGGCACTCAATTCGATGGGAAGCACTTTCGCGGATTTTGCGAAGAGTTGAAGATCGAGTTCTACAATTCGATGCCGGCCTATCCTCAGTCTAACGGTCAAGCAGAGGCCTCAAACAAGACCATCTTGGATGGGCTAAAGAAGCGGCTTGAAAAAGCCAAGGGGAAATGGGCTGAGGAACTTCCCAACGTGCTCTGGGCATACCGCACTACCCCAAGAAGGTCGACCGAGGAAACCCCATTCGCTTTGGCCTATGGCATGGAGGCAGTCATCCCATTGGAAATTGGCATGCCAACCATCCGCTCTGAAAGTTTCCAACTTGATCTGAATAATGAAGCCGTGGCATTGGAATTAGACCTTGCCGAGGAAAGAAGGGAGCGGGCACTAATCCACATCGCAGCTTATCAACAAGAACTCTCCAAGAAATACAACAAGGTGGTGCACCCCAGGCTATTCAAGGTTGGGGACTGGGTTTTGAGAAAGGTACTTGGCAACACGGTGGTCCCTGGCGAAGGAAAGCTCGGTGCGAATTGGGAAGGACCATACAAGGTGATTGGTCTAGCTGGCAAAGGGGCATACCATCTGGAAGATTTGGATGGCAAGGCCGTCCCCAGACCATGGAATGCAGCCAACCTTAAGGTTTTTTACTTTTGAATTGTAATTTTCTTATGTTGTTCCAGACCCTTAGCCTCTTGGCACTAGATGTAAAAGATAGCAATGCTTTTGTAATAAAAATAGCACTCTTGTTTGGTATTACATCTCTGTACAATGAAATCGCAAGGACACAAGGCAATCATTGATGACAGGGGCAAGGAGACCGCCTTGAATGAGACCGGTCTGATTTCATCTCGCTGGAATGGAGACAGACCGCACAAAAAGTTTCTGTAGGAAAAAGTTCGCATTAGCCTAGGGCCGAGCTGGTTCCCCTCGCCCGGTAGAAATGTTGGCGTCATGACCAACCTAGCCGAAACATTGGTGTTTTGCCCAATGTAAGGGCCGAGCTGATTTTGCTCAGCCCGGTCGGCATATTGGGTGTCTTGTCCAATATGGGAAACGAGCGGATTTTGTTCGGCAGGATTTCTCGGTGCTGGCGTTTTGTCCAACCGATAAGAGGTCGAGCTGACTTGGCTCGGCCGAAAGGAAATGTTGGCTGCTTAACCAACTCATAAGGCGAGCTGATTTTTGCTCGGTCTCATTGATGTAATGGAAATGTATGATTCTGCAAACATTTAAAACCAAGCGGATTTTGCTCGGCCAAGTTACAATGTCAGTTCATTTAAATTTTCAAGGAGCTGAGCTGCCAGATATGTTAGAAAACATTCTGGGTGATTTCAGCTTGGCATATTGCGCGGCTCAGCCGACCTGCCAGTTGTGAATTATCAACGTTTAAATCGAGACATTTCAACCGAAAAGAAATAGACGAAATGTACGAACAGAAGGTTCAAAAGTTTCATTGATTGAGGAAGATTCAGAACAAAGGTGGGGCCTGGCCCGGTTACATGCAAAAAAAAAAAAAAAAGGGGGGGAAATTTTCAATCCATTTCAAGATCGACAGTTTGTCCGGCTGCTTGCACCGTCTGCTCGGCCATCACAACTGTCTGCTCGGGCAAGTTTTCCTCGGCGTCGTCGTCAGTACTATCCCCCACAGCAACATCCCGATCAACCACTTCGTCATCTTGAGATGCTTCGGCAGTAGTTTGCTCGGCTTGTTGCGCGGCGACGGCTTTTTCCTCGGCCTCCTTCCTTGCCTACGCAATGAGCCGGTTTTGGGTAGCATTGGCATAGGCCTGCATATAGACCGGGATATATGCTGCAGGGGGGTTCACAAACATTTCGGCATCCTGACCAAGGCCAACTTTTTCCACGGCAGCCTTCCAGCCGCACTGGAAAAAGATGTCCTTGGTCGCTTGGACTTGGCGCTCGTAGGTTCTCTCTGCCTGCTTATATCCACGATCCTCTGCCTCATCGACCGCTTTGTCCCTTTCTTCCTTATGGGCGTCGCGCAGCTTTCGCAGCTCGGCGAGATACCGAGCTTTCATCGACTTCACGGCTCGTTGTTTTTCCTCGCTAGCTCGGTCGACTTTTTGGAGCAAGGTATCTCGCTCCGCCACGAATGCTTCTTGCGCGGTCTTGAGTTGCTATCTCGCCTTTCTGGGCCTCGTTCTCCGAGATGGCATCGCGCAGGCTCTGCCGCACTTTGATCATCCGGTCGTGGGCCAAGTAGTTCTTTTACGCGGCCTGAAAACCAGTGAGATCGTTAGTACTCGAAAAACCGCGCAAAAATCGAGCAAACAGTTTGACATAAAAAAATGAAGAACTTACCAGCACTATGGATTTCACTACCGAGCGGAGGACCTTGAGGTCGGACAGCTCGTCATGTTTTTTCATATCGGCGGGCAAGATTAACCCCTTGGTCAAATTGAAACCAAGCGAATAATCTTTGTCCGCGTAGACGGAGTCCTCAGAAGAAACTGCCCGGCCCTGGTATTTGAACTCGGGTGCCCAGACCGGGGGGGTGGCTGGGCCCTTGCCCTTGGATTTGCCGGCCAGCGGTTGCTCGGTTCGGTCCCCCGGTTCGGTTGAGGCGACCTCAGTTGAATCTTCATCAACGAGGTTTTGCCCGGTCATCTCCTTCCTCGTCCTTTTCTTTGATCGGCCAGCCGGTTGTTCGCTGGCGAGAGCAAGCACAGCTCCTTCTGTTTGCCCGGCTGGGGTGGAAGATGTTCCCCCGGTCGCCTCTGGAGGTTGGGACTCCCCT